TCCCCCGCTACTCCACGGAGGCGGTCGCGCCCCTCTCGCCCCCACGGGCGGCGGCAGCGGTCGGCCAACGGTTCATTTTCTCCTCTAATTGCCGACTAATTTCGCGAGCGCATGCACGAAGTGGCGTGCGCACGACCGCACGGCGGCTGCAGCCCGTAGTACCGTACGGGCGCTCCGGTCGGCCGGCGGCCCGCCTCAGTAGAGCGCAGGGGGATCGCGCGCGGCAACAGAGCAGCATAGAGGGCCTCGGATGACGGAACGGTCAGCGATCCCGCACGGCACCTACCCGCCCACCCATTACCGCCCATACTCCCCCTCGGGCGTTCCCTTTTCACCTCCCCGCGACGTCAACGAGGTGCATTTGCACTGCAAAGGGCTTGACGTATGGAAATGGAATTAATGGAGTCCACACGGCACGGTGCTGCTACAGCTGTATCAAAAGGAGAAAACAAAAGGAAAAAATAATCACGGTAATAATGGGGGCAAGTACGAGGGCATGTGTGTGTATGCCACTTTTTTTGTTTGCGTGTGTGTGTGTTTTTGTTTTTTTGTACCCCCGCGGCATCACGTCAGATTATCTTCGCGGAATTATATACCCAACCCGTCCCCCCCCCCTTTTCCCCTCTCGCGTAACGAGAAAGAGGGATGGAGAGATGGACAGAATGAAAGAGATGCAAAGAGGAGAGCCCCCTGCCCCTTCCCCTTCACACACACTTCCTCCTTCCCCTTTCATTCACCGCGCGCATGCTAGTACTCACCATGATGAGTTTCTCGTACTCTTCCTCGATGTGGCTGCCGTTGAAGGCGCGCTGGGTGCCGCGCGTGTCCGGGAAGTAGAAGCCCGGCTTGCAGACGCACAGGTAGGAGCCGCGGCGAAAGCCCAGCCCCGCGATGGGCACGCACTGCAACACGAGAGTAAATAAAAAGTTTAGTTTCGCCGTTATCGAGACTTTTTCGCAGAGACTTGTTTATTTCGTTGCGGTGTGAGCACGAAGACGTTTGGCAGTCTTTGCGATTTCTATGCTTTCAGGACACGCTATGCCTTTATGAAAGGATTTGAAGGCTGTCACAGTTTTGTTGAAGTGCTTGCACCCCTATCTCATACTCAGGCCAAAATTTAATTTTTAATGATGCCCTAATTACTTTCATTTGCATCACTTTACCTCGGTTGTCCTCTTCTTGCACTTGTCGGAGGCGGCGAAGATGTTGAGCTGCGTGGAGCCTTCCGGCAGCGGGCACTGGTCGATGTCGACGCGCCGCAAGTCGATGTCGATGCCGCTCGTGCCCCTGGAGACAGACGAAGGTGGCGCCCGCCAGAGCGATAGTGTTAACGAGCCAAAGCCGCTTAGATAGTTTGAAAGCCGGTTAAGGGAAGAGGGCTTGCTGCGTCGAGTCGCGGGCCGCGGCTTGCGCTGGGCGGCGCGGGGGCGGCGCGGGGGCGGCGCGGGGGCGGCGTGGTGTGACTTGTCCCGCCTACAAGCGAGTTAGCAAGTTTTGGCCGCCAGACTATTAGAGGCACTCATTACGTCGGCGGCAAGCTTCTTAGTGGATCATCCAGTTAGCACCGCGCCGCCCCGCCGCCGCACCCGGCCGCCTCGCGCGTCGAGTCACCGCACCACACCGCCTTCACACCTACGTCGGGGTTTCGCGTCCGCCGCCTGGAAAGGAACGTCAGGCGAGGCGGCGCGGGGGCGGTCGATTCGACTGTGTCCTGCGCAGCTTCGACTGCGGAAAAAAAAGCGCGACCTAGCAAAGCAGCTGTTCTTGATTAAATTAAGCGCTGTAAACTCAACCGAATCTATCACAATATGAAGGTAAGAAAATTGGAGACAGAAACAAGAACGTGGCCTTTTCATTAAAGTACCGAACGGATTTGATTTAAGGGTAAACAATGGCATACATTGACTAGTTTCAAGGACACTTTTTTCCTAGGGTGTACGGGAGCTGCTGAGCTACTGCTCAGCTAGCGTCCGGTCTCTCCCCCCAAACTCTCACACACCCGTTCCCGTTTCCCACCGCTGCTGCCGCTTTTGGAAACTGCGCGGTTTATGCAACAATATCCCTCCCTCCTGTCATCGCAGCATGCCTGGCGCCCTGGTCGAGCAAAACATCGCGTCAAACGTCGTGCGAAAACGCATCGACCAAACTGTGGTGTGTTTCGAGTGGGAGAAGGGAGTGACGGGTAGGTATGGATTGGGTCCTAGCTGCTACGCTGCGGTCGAGAGCAAGAAAGCAGAGCGTTACCAAGCCGGCTGCGGGCAGTTGTAGTTATGAGCAAAAACTTAGGACAACAACTGTCACTTTGACAAAGACCTGGCGAACATACTGCAAACACATCGTGTGTTGTCGTTGTTTTGAGTCCACTCATTGCATGAGATAAAGGTCATGATATTTTCATTCGAAAATTTGCACAACTATGCCGAATACATTTTGCACATTTATTTGCGCAAATGTACAATCGGATAAACTCTGCATATAATGAGCTTAAATCATAATTTGCACAAACGTGTGCAAAGTAGTTTTTTTTTTTTTTTTTTTTTTACCGGCGTAGTATTTTTTGGAGCAGCACACAATAATAGGAAAGTTGACGGGGTGGAGACACGACGAGGAGTGGCTGTGACCGCCCCGAGCAGCCCGCCCCGGCAGCGCCATCGCTCTCCCCGCCAGGGGCACGTCGTCAGCGCGGAGCTCGGCACCGCCCGCCGGCATTTGTCTCGTTGCGAAGGACGAGAAACAGGTCGCTTTGTGGTGCAGCAATGACGCGTGAAGAAGGAAGGGAGGGAGGGAGGGAGGGGGAAGGCTGCCGTGCAGTGGGCGGGCCTAGCAGCGCCAGGGCCTGCTGACGGCTTGGCTCGTGGCTGCCGTCCGAACCAGAGGATCATCAGTTTTCACTGGAGGATGTAATCGGATGTAGACCGACAGTCTCCCCTACGCAAGGCGCGTGGCGTAGCCTCGAGGAGGAGGAGGTCCCGCTTAACAAGTTGGTCGTGTTTACTTTTGCACGAGAGGGTGCAGAAGGGCTGTGGGGGAGCAGGCAGGAGCTGCTGTGGCGCAGCACGCATAGCTGTCAGCAGATCAGCTGCGGTCACGACGACAAGAAGCAGGCGGTCGAGACGGCGGAGGCGCGGTTAAGGCACCAAAGAAAAAAAAAAGGTCGTCATCCAATTTCAGAGAGTCGTCTATTTTCTCAAGGAAACACGCCGCCGCCGCCGCCCACCGCCCGAGAGAAAGGAGCTGCTGCGTAAGAGGAAGAAGGGGGACGCCCGGGGGACGCTTGATGATGCCTTTGACCGACTGCAGTCGAGTGAAAACGAGTAGAGAGACTCATTGTCAACGGCCGAGGCCTTTTGCTTCGCAGCCGCCGCCGCTGCTGCCCCAACTCGCGCCGGGAGTGGCCGCGCGTCCCAGCGGGGCGGGGCGTGAATTGCAAAAAAGGAAAATGAACCCCGCCGAAGTTGCCACGAGAACAAGTTGGGTCAATTTAATTGCATGAGAGCTGCGCGAGAGCGCAAGCGCGCGCGGGAGCTGATGCAGCTTCACTTCGCACATCATTTGTAAAAAAAAATAATTGGAAACAAATCTACTTTGTCAACCACCATTTTTTATATTCGGCGTGTTTTAAGTTTAATACAAATTGCGTCCTTGAAATTTATTTTTAACACCGTGATGATGGCGGGATCTGGATTGCAGATTCAATCAACGTTATTTTTACAGGTCTGACTATACCACATTCCGCGATGAGCGTCTCGTCGCAGGGTCACGCAGAAGGGAGGGGGTGCACCCCCAGCAGCAGCACCCTCACTGCACCCGGGGCTTGTTTTGTCCCGCCAACGCCACACCCGTCTCCTCGGCTCTCCAAAACAAATAGAATCGCAAGCCGGGCGCGCCGTGCGCAACGCTTCCTGATTTATGACAGCCAGGGACCTCACGGCTGCTCGGCGCTCCTCTCGGCCATCGCTGCAAACACAGCAACACAGAGCGGCAAGAAGGAATAAGGCGAGAAGAAAGGAGGTGGAGGAGCAAAAATGGCCACCGGTCGACCTCGGAAATCACAACAATAAAATAGAAAAGCATTTTGACTTACAATTTAATTTAACGACATGTAAAGGTTCGTAAGTCTTTTAGAACACCGGCATGGATTAGAACGCGATTTTTGTCCCCTTCCTCTCGACGGCTACCTTCTTAGACCGCTTGATCCTCAAAGAGATGGCGGCAACACGTTTCCAGTCCCACTTCCGGAATGAGAGACGGCTGCGAAAAAATGACGACAAACAACAACAAAAACAACAACAGGGAGACAGGAATGAGGAGGGGGGCTTTTACGAAAGATGAACATGTGATGGATATCTGCTCGCCGCCGGCCGGACCCGACCGCGGCGTGGAAAAGTGAAAAATGAGGACGACGAAAACAATGAGCAGAAGCGGCAGCTGCGCGGCGAAGCGCACAGACACCCACTTTTTTTTAACGTGTAAAAAAACAAAAAAAAACTTTACTGCCTCCCTTCCCACGCTCGAAAAAGCCGCCGACGCCCGAGCCTCTCCGCAGCTAACCGACCGAAACAAGCGCCATTTGTTCAATTTTTTTTTTCGAGCGCGGAATTTATACCCCTGAAAACTATCCGAAGGTCACTTTCCTCGCTGCTCTTGCTGCCCGCGTTATTTGATCTAGTGCGCGCAACAGCTATCCCACATGAACGGTCGCCGCGTAGCATTCCGCGGAATACCATACCCGCGCGCGCGTGCGTTAGTCTCGTCTTTTTTGTGCTGCAGTTCGGCTTGCTCGCCACACACCGCCCGCCCCGCCCCGCCCCGCCACCGCGCGCGCTCTCGCGGCCAAGAATTTGCAGCAGAGTTGTTAATCACCCTTTATTGGCCGAGCGAGCAGCTATGTCCGATAGGGGTGATGTATGATGACGGGGCTGTCACTTCAGCCCGGTCTGCCGCCTGACTGCTGCCGGGCGCAGGGCAGAAGAGAGGGAGGAAAGAGCGGGAAAGGGGGGAGAGGGATGGACAG